AGCATCGTGCTTGTCCTCTTCACAGACGTGGTAGCATCGTGCTTGTCCTCTTCACAGACGTGGTAGCATCGTGCTTGTCCTCAGGACTCCCCGCCTGAACTCTATTCTGATCAATGTCTAGATCCGAACAGACGGTTTTAGGGTCACAGATGATCCCCGTCCAGCCTGTGGGCATTCTGCACTGCTTGAGTACGGTCAGAATCCGTTGGGAATCGTCCTGCTACATTGGAACAAGACCAGCCTTTGTTAAAAGAAAGCGGGACTTCTTTCGGTCGATTTTTTTTAAAGGTCTTTTAAATTAGAAGCCTTAAAGAGACACTTCTACACATCATTGCTTGCTTTTTGGAAACTGTAGTTGGCCCACAGATCACTGGCAGGATCAAGAACCAGGCTGATGAATGAAATAGTTCAGATAATGAGTCGTAATCATGGAAGCACTGAACAAAAAATCGTTTTCATGTGGATAGCATTTGCCTTTGCACTTACACCACTTCTTGGAGATTCTCTTTAGACATGTTGCTTACTCACCCTAACAAGGGTGGCAAGAAACTCTCCCCTTACAGAATGATTCAGAAAGATTAAAAGATGAATCCTGGTCCAAACCTCTTGAATTTCTGAGCAATTCCTCAATGCCATTTTCTAAAGCTACTAATTATAGCCATGTTAATAACAAAGCTTTGAGTAGTTAAAAAAACTTCATGAGCAGTGTGGGTACCATTCTCTGTTTGCATTGGAGACAATGCACTCATAAAGTTGTTGCTTTTATGTTGTTACCTTTAAAATTTTTATATTCATGTACTCGCTCTGGCTTGCATTCATGAATTTTAAGTTCGACACGTCTTATGAAATTGCTCTTCGGATGTAACGCATTGGAATACTATCCCTAACTCAGGTGTGGCCTCATAGACAGAATAGATATTGTATAACTGTAAAATGTAGATGATGTTTAATTTAGCCTCGTAGCATTCTCAATCGCATAAGGAGTAAAACTGAATGAGGTGTTAAAATTGTGCTTGGATTGCGTATTTTGGAAATAACTAAGGGCTTGAAGTAGGTTGGGTCAAGGTTATTGAATCAAGCCCGATTTACAAAGCATTGTGGCGCTTGCACTTCAACCCTTCTTCAAAGGTGTCTTACTCAGTATGTATCTTATCCCTACCTAGAATAGAAAGACTGGTGCATGAGAGGCATAGCTGTCTTCATTCCAAGACAGGTCACCTCATCAGTAGATGTTGAAGGCCTTGTACACACTCCTGTGGAAACTTGGGTGTTTTTCCAGGAGAAAGAAGGGATTCATTTTCCATAATACCATAATACCAACTAGGATGAAATCTCAGTGGACAGGGCCATGGAAGACCGTTTTGAAATAAAAGCATTTTGTTCCTATTTTTAAAAAATATTCAATAATCAGGGACAAAATGTTTTTCTTTGGGCCTCTGAATTTTAGCCACCCTTCTCACTTGGCTTCATATGTGTGCCTAGTTCTCCTTATCCAAAGGCAAAAGGCCATTCCACAGGCAGAGCACCCGCCTGGGCAGCCTAGGCTTTTTCTGTGCCCTGGGTTATTTTAAAATTCTAATAAGGCACATGTATAAATGTTAGGACAGGTGGCTTTTTAAAAAGAAGAAAGTAGGGAAAGGAAGAAGAAAATAACAAGTTAGGAGCCAGTGTCAGGAAGCTACTCCTTTATTAGAGAAGTAATTAGACAAAGCTGTGACAATTAAGACTTGCCACTAGGAAAGGCTTGGAGGCACAATTCTTTAGGCAGCCTGCCATCCTGAGGGTGAAATCCTTCAGGATTGCTGGGAGACCTAGAGGCCTAATTTGCATAGCCTCTGAAACCTCGGGAGACTCCGCAGGAATGCTCTGAGAAAAATCAGTCGAAGCATCGCTAAAACATAGATCTACCGTTAGTTCACTCACTCGTTATCGGGGTGGTACTAACTCCTAGTGACCCCATAGGAAAATCAAACTCTAGAGATACTGGCTGATCGCTAACTATTGACTTAATTTTCTACCAATGCAATTGAATGGCACAATGCCATGAAGTCAGGGCCTTTGTCTTCAAGATTAGAACTCCCCGCTCCCCAAAGAAACATACAGCTTATTTGGACTAATACCCCCCCCCCCCCCCTTTTTTACCATTTCAAAATAAATGTATTATCTGGCACTGAGCTATTTGTTCATTCTTCCATATCAGAGGGAGAGTGTTGAACTCCTACATATAATTTAAAGCAAAACCCCATGCAGGAGAACCAAGTTTATCACCCACCAGAAGAGGAGGGCCACAGTAGACAGAAGACAAAAATAGAGAGAGCACCAATCATTAAATCTGAAGCCCAAGTCTTAGCACTTTACCTCTGTGGACCGAGGTTTTCTCTTCCACAAAATGAGAGTCAGGAGGTCACGTGCTTTCAGAAATGGTTTGTGCACCGTGCCCACAGAGCCTCCTGTTCGACAGCATTGTTTCATTTCCTTTTCAATATCTTAGAGTATTTTAAATTGTATTTCACACAAAGACATATTCAAATATATGAAATAATTGACTCATCTAAGTTAAATTATAAAAATGCATGTAACAATTATGGAAAGGGCAGCACTACCAATGTAAATGCATATTGCGTATCCCTCAGCATGAAATTCTTTACTTGTCCAATTAAAAGACAATTGAGTGTGTGTCCCCAGATTGGGAACACCTTCTGTACAACTGTAAAAGCGATTGCCATTTGTAACTACTAATCCATAACCATACTAACTTTCTCCATTTTTAACCACACAGCAGAGAGGTCTATAAAGGAACAATAAAACTCGTGAGGGATGATCGACTTAGAACAATCCACCACTTGAGGCCCAAAGGAAGCATTTGGCCAAGGACAAAGTCCAGGAGGCAGGAAGGTGGAGGAAAGGAGGACGGATGGAAATGGGAAACAGAGACAGAGTGGGCTAAGTGATCTTCCATTGTGGGGACTATAATCAATGACATAGAGCAAAATACATGAATTGTTGAGTAGAAAACTGATATGCTTGGTCAACTTCCATCCAATTCACAGAACAAGTTAATTTTTTGGCCTCAATAAACTACCCACCATAAAACCAAAGACAACCAGTAAAACTAGATGTGACAATGATTAGCTGTTGTTCCTGATAGCTAACTTTTCTATTGACAAAAACAGCCTCGCTGTTCTCCTCCATGCACTCTATAATAACTAAATGTCATTTATTGAAAATAAGAAAATGTAATCTTAATAGTATCAGATTTATCTATAACATAAGGCCTTTCGATAACCCAAACATTTGTAAGCCACTTAATATTATTGTCTCTCTGACACCTTCCAAATGCCAACTCCACGGTTGCTTCAGAATGAGCCATTCTTTCAGTTTCAGAAAGTAAAACACAGCTCCTAAATAGGAGGAAAAGTTCTGGGGCGTCTCTTCAGTCAAGAGTGGGGCTAGGAGAGCCCTGCAATCTAGTGGCATGGAGAGTCTCTGAGGTAACTCACTCGCTACCATCTGCCTCTTGTTGTCTCCCATGCTCCCGTTTGCTCCCCCTTCTTTCTTATCTTTCCTTATCGCATTCTTGTTTCGCCTTTTTAATTTTCCCTCTCATTGTCATCTTCCCCCCCTTTCAGTGCTCATCAACTCCATCCTCGTCAAAATCATTTGTCATGCACCTTTTGCCTTGATCCCACATATGAATGAAGGGACACGGATCCATGAAACGGCAAAAATAAGTCATAAAAATTACTCATCATTCCCAGTACCTGCAGATAACCACCATTACTACTTTTGATGGATTTATTTCCAGTTTTATTGATAACTAGTGCCAGATGAATGTGTAAACTGCATACAGTGGCCACTTGGAATTCAATGATCTACCTTTCTTGGTTTCTAGCCTTCTAACGGCAACATGAATGTCCGTGACACATTTACCTTGTCATTTTGCTGGGGCAGAAAATTCAGGTCCTTGCAACCCAAGGGACAATGGAGCAGTGTGGGCTCCCCAGCAGCTTATCTGTGGGTGTCATTTATGCAGTGATTTGTAGGCGCTGATAAGATACTACTTTTTTCTTAGACCCAAGTGGCTGCCAAAAGGCAGCCAGCATTTAGTGCTTCTGATGGAAATTGAAGGTAAAATGTAGGCTAAAAAATGGGTGACTTCACGTATTAAAAATGTTTCTTTTAAAAAAAGGTTTTATTGGCACATAACTTAGATATCACACAATCCAACAGTTCAATCATTCAATCAAATCAAGGACAATGGTACGATCATCACCACATCAATTTTAGAACATTCACCCCTGCCCCCCCCATGGTTAAAATGCCCCTAAAATGAGTTGTGCAATCACAATCTGTTTCAATGCTCCCTCTCCCTCCCACCTTCATCCCCCACCCCTCCCAGCAGTTTGATTGGAACATGATTTACCCATCATACCATTGAATAGTTCAATCATTTGATCATAACAAGGGAATTATACAATCACTACATCAGCTTCAGAGCATCTCCCCTCCCCTCAAGTCCCCTGC